CCCGGTCCCAAACTTGCTCAGACACAGATTGCAGTCTTTCTTCATCATTTGGTTGTGGGATACAAGTAAGTATAATACTCTTCTTCTTTTGAATTCTATATATACTAATTAGACAATGATTTTCTTTTACTCTCTCTCTCTCTCTCTATATATATATATATATAATGTATGTAAAACTGCAGGTGGGAAATAATCAATCCAGACGAGAAGATAATCTATACATCTCAACCAGTCCTAAATGGTGGAGGCAAAATTGCAATTACTGCAATTTAGTTCTTTAAATATATGTTTTCTTGTGGAGTCTAATAAATAAACTGGATATTCAGTCTAGTATGTTTATTGTAACTTGTGAGCTCTTTATGTACTTAAATAAGACAAGTAGATTAGAAGAAAGAAATATTTGTCTGTGTCCAATTTTCTTGCTTACATGTATATATATATGTATATATATATATGCAATATTGAATTTTCGGAAAAGTGGAAAGTTCCAGAAAAATTACATGAAGTTCTGCATATAAAAATTGTACAATTTAAAATATAAAAATATATATAATATATTAATTGAACCAAATACAACAATAAGATATATTGACATTTAGAATATGAAAAAAGCAACAATCAAAACTTTTTAGAAAATATTTGTATTATTCTTATGTGCTCAGTCAATAATATACTTCCCAGCCAAATTTCAATATTTATAAGCAAAAAATATGTGATTAGTTTATAATACATATGTAACAGAGAACAATTTAACTAGTCTATAATGGGAGAGAGAGAGAGAGAGAGATGACAATATTTAATATTATTTTAAATTTTTTCGAATTTAAGTCTACCTACCCACGAATGACTCAGATAGTACGTGTATATATATGTACATGGGTTGGTGAGTGAATGTGGCTGGAAAGAGGGAAAGAGAAGAGAGAGAGAGAGAGAGAGAGAGATGACAATGGAGGGATATTGGTGGTGGGTGACATGGGTTATCGGTGGACTGCCTTTAGCAATTTGGATTCTATGGCGGTGGAATGAGCTCCGATATGTACTACCTCTGAAACATACAGACTCAGCTTTAAAGCATTCGAAACTCCCTCCTGGTTACATGGGTTTCCCTTTCATTGGAGAGATGCTCTCTTTCATATGGTATTACAAGATTGTCAGTCGCCCAGATGATTTCATCAATGCTAAGCGAGCCAAGTAAAATTCTCACTTACCCATTTTTTTTTTCTTTCATTTTCTCGCATTTAGAGCCCCATTAGGTCAGCTTTTGTTTTTGGTTTTTGCCTTTCGAAAGCACTTTATAAGATAATTTCATCAATGCTAAACAACCAAATAAATTCCCATTTAGCCATTTTTTTTCTTTCATTTTCTCGCATTTAGAGCCCAATTGGGTCGGCTTTTCTCTTTAGTTTTTGACGTTTTAAAAGTACTTTTGCAATCATCAATCGTTAATAATAATATGGTGACTGGTCAGGTATGGTGATAGAGCAGGGTTATATAGAACATATCGCTTTCGGCTTTCCGTCTATCCTTGTTTGCACTCCAGCTGCAACCAAGTTTGTGTTCCATTCACATCTTCTGTTTCCCCATAGATTCTCAACAAGGGAGCTTGTTGGACCTAATTCTCTGTTGGCAGCTACTGGGGAATACCATGCCAGGATCAAATCCCATATCACTTCTGCACTTGTCCATACTAATTCTCTGAAGAAATTCCTTCTCGTTGCTCAACCAGGCATGAAGGTCTCTCTTGAATCATGGGCTCAAATCGGTACCATCAGGTCATTTGAGGTTATCAAAAAGGTACTGATCTTAATATTTTTTCTAATTTAATAAGTCTCTAAACATTATTATTAATGTGATATTAATCTAATATGCAGATGGTGTTTGAGAACATTGCTGAATGTTTTGTTAGCATTAAACCTGGGCCTCTTTTGGATGAGCTTCTTGGTTACTATATTGATATGTTCAAAGGGTTTAAAGCACGCCCACTTAAGATCCCAGGAACTACATATTACCATGCTCTTCAGGTAATTCAATTATGATTAATTATAATAAATACATATGATTAATTATAACAAATACACATTTACTTTGGAATTGACTTATGATGATAGTCGATGAATTAATTCATTGATCATTTGCTACTACGTACCGTGTCGAAAAAAAGTGCGTGAAATCTGTAAGGTAGAATTGGAGAAGAGGAAACGAGATAGAAAAGATGGAGAATACAAGTAGCATTGATACATTTCACACACACACACCTCCTCTTTTTTTTCATGTTTTCTTCTTCTTTCGGCTTGCAAGTCTCTACTCCAAGGCTTTTCCTTTTATAGGTCAGAGAAGTCGAGAAGATTAGTTTTTTCATCCAAAAAATCTTTCAAAAATCTTCTGAATTGATTTTTGCTATGTCATTAAAAATCTACAAGAGATTAAAGACAAATCTTTTTTGATTGCGTATGCGATTTACTCTTATCTTCTTTTTGGCGGTGATGGGCTGGAACTAATAATCTCTTCCTCGTCACATGAGGGAATGTTCGCTCATCTATTACTCAATTGTCACTCAATCTCACCGTCTTGATGCATTACTGATGTTTGTCACAACTCACCACTTTAATTAACATGTCAAGTGGATTATCATCAATGTAATTTTTCTCCGAAGAACTCATCTCCTCCTATACTGCTTTTGACCACTGAGTTTCTTCTTTGTGATTATGAATTTGTTAAGAATTCTCAAGCTCCCCCTCTTCAGTAATCGTGACATACTCATAACTCAAATATTTAGTGGATGAATAATGTGTTCGAGTTGACCTTCTAACTTGAGATTCTTCTTAAATCTAAGGTGAAAGAGGTTATTCTCCTTATTCAACATCATTACTAACATCTACTGGTATTTGTATATAATCAGTCTCATTTCCTTCACTAGTGGCACATTTGATTGAAGGAGAAATCAGTACAAGAAGGGAAATGTCTTCATTTTTTGTAGTTTTTTCTAATATCTCAAAGTCCAACAGGGTTTTATGTTCATCAAAGATCATATCTTTATACCTGATGATTTTCTTCTTTACTGTATCTCATAATTTTTACCCAAATTCTACATCTCCATAGCCTAGAAGAATACGTGGAATAATTTTATCATCTAATTTCTATCTCTACTCTTTAGACACATACACAAATGTCTTGCACCCTAATACCTTCATATGAGAGTAAATATTATCATTCTCAGACCATATTATCTTAGAAATATCAAAATCGAAAACAGTTGACAGAGAATTATTAATTAGATAGCAGACGGTATAAAGTACTTTATCCCAAAATAGTTTTAGTAGATTAGTTATTTTCAGTATGCATTTGACTTTCTCTAAAATGGTTTTTTTTTTTTTTTGAAAAATACCGTTGTGCGGAGAAGTACCGGAAACAATCTTTTTATGTATGATTTCATGCTGTAAACCATAGTTCTCAAACTCCTTTAAAATATATTCGCTACTATTGTCACTACGAAGATAATTTCCTAATTAAAAATCTAAAAATACCCTTCATGCTTATTTAAGAACACAATTTATTTTCCTATGCACACACTTTACTTATAATCCTACAATAATTTTAAAATTTTACCTATTTTGGATTAAATTTTGTTAAAATTTAATAAAAAGAACACAATTGACTATTTTTATTCTAACTTATTATTATATTTATTAAGAATTAAAGGATGAAAAACATGACACTATACTTTGTTTTAATCCTCAATTGACATAAATTTAATTTGAAATAGATTTTAAATAATTTCTAGAAAATATATATTAAAAAAATAAAATCGCATATATGAGTACATTGGTTGTAGACCTTGTCTATTTGCTCCATAAATAGGGATAGTATAATAACTTCCTATTATTTAAAATTTAATGTGATTAATTAACGGGAGGAGATAAATACATAATTTGATAATTAAGGAAAGTAAATGAAGAAGAAGCAAAATTAGAGTGTAGTTATTGAACATTTAATTTCTGAGGTAAGATAATAAATATTGGTCAATAATGGAAAAATATCTTCTAATTGTTAGTAATATAATATTACTTATTAAGTATGGACATAAGACTCCCTCATTGAGCTAGCTGGTTAATCATGGCGGTCTGGTATCTCTCGTCCCTTCTACTATTCCTAGTACTCTCCATCTTCACCAAGCACTTTCTGAACAAAATCCACAACCTCCCACCAACCATATTTCCATGTTTACCGATCATCGGCCATCTCTATCTCCTCAAGCAACCAATCTACAGAACCTTCTCTCGAATTTCCAAGCAAAACGGCCATGTTCTTTTGCTCCGATTTGGGTCCCGTCAAGTCCTTGTCGTCTCGTCGTCGTCAGCTGCCGAAGAGTGTTTTACCAAAAACGATATCTTTTTCGCCAACCGCCCTCGCTTTCTCATCGGTAAACACTTGGCTTATAATTTCACCTCCATCTCTTGGGCACCCTACGGTGAACATTGGCGCAACCTCAGGCGGATTGCTTCCCTCGAGCTCTTATCAGCCACCCGCCTCCAAATGTTGTACCACATCCGAGCTGACGAGGTGAAGAAGATGATTCGCAACATCTTGGAAAGTCAAGATAACCTTGTTGAATTGAGAACATCGCTTTTCGAGTTGACGCTCAACATGATGATGAGAATGATAGCCGGAAAACGTTACTATGGCCAGAACGTGGAAGATGTTAAAGAAGCAAAGAGGTATCGTGAGTTTCATGCAGAGACCTTTACGTTGAGTGGTTCAGCTCCTATTGGAGATTTCATACCATGGGTTAAATCTTGGGATCTTGAAAAGAGGATGATAGACTGTCAAAAAAAGAGAGATGAGTTCATGCAAGATTTGATAGAAGAGCGAAGAAGGAAGATGAAAGCTGATAATTCTGATGGAGAAAAGAAGAAGGCGATGATTGATGTCCTATTGTCGCTGCAAGAATCAGAGCCAGAATATTACAGTGATGAGATCATAAAAGGGTTGATGCTAGTAAGATTCCATTGATAAATTAATACAAAGTTCGAAACTTTTAAGCTAAATTCAAATTTCCTTGTGTTGTCAGCCATTAATGCTTGTATGTTCTAATGACTTTGTAATTTTCTGTGGAGGTTCTTCTGATGGCTGGGACTGATACGACCATCAATACCATGGAATGGACACTGTCTCTGTTACTAAACCACCCAGAAGAGCTTAAACGTGCTCAAATGGAAATAGATAATCACATACCAGAGGGTTGTCTTCTTCAAGAATCGGACTTGCCTCACCTTCCATATCTTCGCTGCATCATAAATGAAGCAATGCGTATGTGCCCAGCAGTCCCCGTGTTAGTACCTCATGAATCATCGGCAGAGTGCACAGTAGGCGGATTTCGCATTCCAGCTGGGACGACATTAATGGTAAATGTGTGGGCAATACATCATGATCCTAAGATTTGGGAAGATCCAGAAAAATTCAAGCCGGAGAGGTTTAGAGGGATTTCGAAGACTGCCGGAGCTGGAGTGAAGGATGGGTTCTTTCTGATGCCATTTGGGTATGGAAGGAGAAGTTGTCCAGGTGATGGATTGGCTATGAGGGTGATAGGGTTGACTCTTGGCTCGTTAATTCAGTGCTTTGAGTGGTCGAGGGTTGACGATGAGATGGTGGTTATGACTGAAGGAGTTACCTTCACCTTGCAGAGGGCCAAGCCTCTACAAGCTAAATGTCGTCCAAGAGCCGCCATGGCTGACCTTCTTTCTCGAATATGAACCAAAATGAACTTGTTAAACTAGCAAAATGTATGGTGTAGAAATTAATAAATAAATAAAGTCTAAATGATTAACTTTTAAACCATTTATGTTTTTCCTTTTTAAAGTTTATTTCTTTCTTAATAATCTCTTACTTATTTTTATATGATTTATTTTTGATATTTTAATCTTAAATAAAAAAGATATGTAAATAATAAACTTTATATAAGAATCATGTAACGGTCCCGAAAATTTAAATGAAGATGTATGTATTAAAAATTTTAAATGCGGAAGCGAAATAAAAATTCTGATTAACATCAATTACAAAATAACCATAAACGTATTCAACGTATGAAAGAATAACCTAATTAAAAAAAATACTCGAAATAAAAACTATAAATAGAACTATAAAATCTTTAGGCGTCTAACTCGCCGTCTTCCTGCGGAACGGGCTCGGGAACCACGTCTTCCTGATCTAAAATGGTTAAGTAAAGAATGAGTTACACTAGCCCAGTAAAGACATCACACTATCTCAATACCACAGAAGTAAAGGTTGGTAGAAAACAAAAACGACTAATGGAGCATAATTTATAACAAACTCATTTATTAATGATAAAAACATTTACTATCCACTTACCTCGATGAGATTCGTGAAAATAACATATAGAAACAATAACATTATAACCATCATAAAATCATATACACTTTGTAACATAACACATGTTATACTTTTGCACTTCAATAATCAGACAATAAATTTCCTCTTTTACCAGCCTACTAGTATCCATGGGGATCCATAGGGGGTCCCCGCTACACGTGAATCATTAACATTAATAACTTAATTCCAGGGTCATCCCCATACCCCGTCCGGTATGGGCGCTAAAATACATAAGGTCTCCATACCCCGTCCGATATGAGAGACCACGTTCCCGGTAGGGTTCCCTACGGATCCGGTCCGTCCACCATCTCCCAGGATATCTAGTCAGGCTGTCCACGTTATCCATTTATCAATTTACATACCTTTTCTATTTTTTTTTTAGTTTTCTGTTTCTCACATAATCATGAATATTTAAACCGGTAACGAGCATCCAACAAGGCAGGCATATCATCGGATTCACAAAATCAAGCCATAATGAAGTAAACAGTGATTCATGCATTCAAAATCATAAAATAAATAGATCAGATACCATAATGCATTTAAAACTATAAAATAACAAAAACAGCAACTGACCGAAAATATATCAAACTCGGACTCCATTAGCAACCTTAATTAATTATACATATCTATTAATTCACGAAATGCCATTTTATTATTTATTGAGCTTTAATACCATGATAGAAAATAGGGTGAGAAATCCTTACTTATTTCGGAGTCTGAAATCGGGTCTACAATGCGCCTACGGACTGTCCCTAAATTCCCTGAATTTTTTTTTGAGAAACTGAAATGCACTACCAGTACCTGCACGTGTCCCAAAAAACCCCAAATCAGACCAAAGGCCCCTTTTTTGGCCAATATCAGAATTCCGGCATGGCGGCTCCGCAGTGCTCCGGCGACGATATCGCCGCCCGCAGCGTCGATTCGCCTCGGGCTGGCCGTTTTCGACCGAATTCGGCCAAACTTGCATTGGTTACTGAGATAAAACAACCCTAGGGCCCTCGGTGGGCTAAAAAATCACAAAAAACTGAGACTTACCGGCGGAGCTCTCGGGTGTGGCGGCTTCTCCGGCGTGAGTCACGATTTGATGTTTTGCTCCTGTCAACCTGTAGAGAAAAGGACAGTGGTGTAAAAATTTCATCGAACGGGAATCGAAAAGGGCCTCATCGAAGGCAAAGACCGAGGGTACTGACGGCTAGGGTTTGGGGTCGGGTGTGGGTGAAGTTATTTATAACCTTTCCCTTTTAATCTCAGCCGTCCATCTTGATTTAATCTGTACCGTCCGATCGCGATTAAAATGGGAATAAATCTGGACCGTCCGCACGCGTGAGATCTGGGCCGTCCGTGTGCGTGAGATCTGGGCCATCCGCACGCATGAGATCTGGATCGTTCGATCGCGTGCACGCGGATCGCCCGCATGGCTCTGTCCCGCGTGGCCTCCCGCGTTAGCTTCCTTGCCACGCGGCGTGTTCTGGTTGGCCAGGGCTGCTAACTGGGCTGCTGACATGGCCGTTGATGTGGCACAACTTTCTTAAATTGCGTTTTGAACCCTGTTTTCTAATTTTCTTTTCAAAAACACCCCCAAAATCTAAATTTTCACCCATTTTTTCCAAAATCAATTTCAATTAAATCTCAAAAATAATTTTACCCTATTTTATCATTATTATTATTTTTATTAAATTAAATTAAATTAAAACCTTATAAATTAAATATTAAAAAATTAAACTAAAATTCTAATACAAATTAAAATAAATTAAAAAATAAAAATAATAAAATTTGGGTGTTACAACTCAAGTTAGAATCTATTAATAAATAGAATGTGTATCAGATTATATTTGAGTGATGAAGAAGATTATAATATAAAGTGGTAATTAGAGTCAAGTATTGTAATTTTGAATATTAATAATACATATTAAATAATGACAAATAAATTAACAAAATTTTAACTAAGAAGAAATAAGAATCAAAGTACGTAATAATTTATATTATTATTTTAGCGTTCAAGAAGTAAAAAGGAGAAAATAATTTTAATTTTTATTATTTTAAAATAATTAAATTATTTTATTTTTATTACGTCAAATAACATTTAAAATTCGATATTTAAAAATAATCAATTAATCAATATTATGGGTTCAAATGGATAACACGTAATATGATTGTTAATAATGTTAATATTTATCGATGAAGAGGGATTAATTTGAATTATTAAAGTAATTTAACTTCAAATTAAAACGATAACTAAATTTAATAAAATAAAGATTAAAAAAAAAATATTTAGAATGTAAATTATCAAACACGTTGTGATAAATATAACTATGAGGTTAAAATAAGTTTAATTATGAGAGAATATAAATTCTGTTAATAAAATAGAAACTGACTACATAAAGTTTTATGCATTATTAAAATAACAAATGCAATATTATATAAATTTTGACAAAACAAAATTTAAAGTATATATATATATACTCTCTCTTGGATTAGGCATGCACTGAGAGACAATCAAAACAGTTCATCTCCCTAACTGTGTGTGTGTGTGTGTGTGTATATATATATACATGTATACATATTGGAAAAAGTTTTCAGAGATAGATTTGTTATAAATTGGAGGAAGAATATAGAGACTTAATTTTTTAATTTGTGGTAGTTATTATAAATCTTCAAATATATGGATATAGGTGTAAACACAATTATTAAAATTCTGTATATATATATATATATATTAATCATAATTAAGTTTAATTTATAAATAATTGTTAAATTTAATACACTAATCAATAAAAACTCACAATACACATATTAATTATCATATTTATGTGTTATATTTAACTTTACTTCTTATAACCATACTTTTGCATAGCACTGAATGGGTTATTTCAAAATTTCAATTTGATTTTTCAAATTGATATATTAATAAAAAGACTCAAAATACATACTTATATATAGATATCAACACAATTAAGTCTAATTCATTATCATAATTAAGGTAAAGTATAAATTATTTAATAAAACTTAAAAGACACATGTTTAAATTTAATACATTAACCACTTAGAAAAACTCAAAACATATATATTTAAGTTAATACACAAACCACTTTAAAAAACTCAAAAGACATATATTTATAATTTTTAACTCCTTAGTAAGACAAACAATCTCCTTAATTTATAAATTATTTGCAAATTATTATTTTCAATAGTATGAACTTATGAATATCAAATTTTTTATTCTTTGGTATATATGATGTAAAACCTCAAAACTTAAATGGAAACAAGGTTATAAATTAAACGCGAAAGCGAAATAATAGAGTTTGAGTTTATATTCCTTACACAATCATTTAAAATGCCCAATAAAAATACAGAAATGTATATTTTATAACGGTTCATAAAAAAAAACGTAATAACATATGAAAATAGTAAACAAATGTTGTAAGGAGATTAACCTCCACTAACTCTTGATAGGATCCGGAGGGACACCTACTCACAGCCCTCCTGCTGATTAAGATCTTGATGTTGATCTTCTTGATATGAAATGGTTAATAGAGGAGGGGGTGAGCTACACTAACTCAATAAGAATATCACACTACTCATCGATACAAAAACTAAAGGTTTGTAAAAATTGTAAAATATAAAACGAATAATGGAGCTCTTAATTTAAGTAAGTTCGTTTATTATAAAAAAATTATTTATTGCATATTTACCGTTAAGAGATTTTCAAAATCGACCTATAAAGATAATAACTCAAATAACATTATGATTTCATATTCAAGTGAGCAAAAACAACGACTTTCCTTTTTATCTGCTTACTAGTATCTCTAAGGGTTCATAGGGATGTCCCACTATGTGTGAACTCAATATCTAAACTTGTCAACTAACCGGTCATCTTTATACCCCGTCCAGTATGAGTGCTAAAAATATCATCCCTCGATACCTCATCCGATATGATGGTGAATCGGGCCGTCCTCATACCCCATCTGGTATGAACGCAAAAATACTCTCTCGATACCCCGTTCGGTATTGGGTAACGTTCACGGTAGGGTTCCCTATGTACCCAGTCCGTCCACCATCTCGCAGGATATCTAGTAAGACAACCATTTATTAATTCACATAATCAAGCAATTTTCTATTTGCATATTAATTTCATATTTCACAAATCAATCGTAAATCACGCAAGACAAGCGATATATGCATCAAAGAAGAACAACTGAATCATTTAATCATTCTAATATATTATCATGTATTTAAAGCTGTAAAATTAAATAATCAGTTAAACATGACAAATAAATAACTAATCGGTTCTGGCTCCATTAGTGACATGTAATTATTTTCAAAGTTTTCTAAATTTTACAAAATATCATATTATTGATTATTA